AATTTTTGTAGTTGCCGATTTATTTATGTCATTTTTTTTTGCCAAATTGTTTATTTTTTGCTGAATGTTACATGAGTGGTAGTATTTTTGCTTAATATTACACAAGTGGCAGTATGCCGAATAATTTTTTTTAACTAGTGAATGAAATATATACATTAGGCTGTTTAGATCTTGAGGAGCTTTGATATCCTTTTGAGTTTTGAAGGATTTGAGATTTGCTTTGAGATTTCTTGTAGTATCAAGAAAGGTGTTAACCTATATTGGCCTGACTGTAAGCTCTGTAAAGTTGATATTGGCTTTCTTTTTCTGACTGTAAATCAGTTTATATTGATCTATTTTATTTTTTTTAGCAAAGAGAAAAGAGTCAAGGTTATGCTTTATGTTATATTTTTCTTAGTGGTCATTAAACTAGAGCTATGCATGAAGTATTGTTTTCTGAGCTAAGATGTCTACTATATATTGATATTGTGAGGAAATATGTGTCTTGAGTTATATATGTTATCTCTTTCTTTGGATATATTATCTAAAAAGAAAATTTCTAAAGATCTAAGGAATTAGTGAAAAGAAAAGATTTAATTTAATATATTTATAGTATTTTCATAATAACTAGTAAATATTTATACTATTGATAGATATTATTAAAAGTATAGTTAAAATACTATTAACTTTATTCTTATAGATGAGAACTTATTATTTATTTTTATTTAAAACTTGTTTTTTTTTTACTTTTTCTTTTTATCTGGATTTATTTTATTTTTATTTTTATTTTTTCTTTTATAATTAATGAGCAATTTGTTAAAGTAAAAGATTATTTTTACTTCAGATCCTAGATTGTATTGTAATATATCTATTAGATGATTTTGATATACTTCTTTTTTAATATTTTTTTTAATAATAGTTTTTTTTTAAGTTTTTATACTTATATGATTTATTTATTATTTTGAAAAAATAATTTCATAAATCTTGATTAATATAGATTAAGTTTTGAATTATTTTTTTTAAAGTTATCTTGAGATTTGAAATTATTACTTCTCATATTTTTTTAATGGATTTTTTTATGTTGAGATATTGTATAATATATACTATAGCTTCTTTATATATATTTTTTATAATATAGTTATACATATCTAGAACAACTTTATAACTTTATTTTTTTACTATTATTAGTATAATAACAAATAAAATATTTCATTTTATCTTTATGATCTATATTTTAATTTTTTCCAAGTTATTTACTTATTATTTTTTTTTGTATCTTTTTTTTATTTATATATTTGTAGTCAAGCAAATTATAGTTCATAATTAATAATTGGATTTAAATAAAAAATTTTTTTATAATGGGTTATAATATAAACTTTAGACAAATATTTTTTGATTAAATTTGATTATATATTAATAGAGATAAAATATTTTAATTTTTTTAAAAAAAATTGAATTTATGAAAATAATCAAATTCTAAAAATAAAGTTAAATATATTTATATTATTTTTTTATTATCTAGTAATCAGATTTAAAATAAATTTTTTTTAAATGATAGCTTATAATATAAGCTTTAAAACAAATATTTTTTGATTAAATTTGATTATACATTAATAGAGATATACATGTAAATATTTTAATTTTTTTTAAAAAAAATTGAATTTGTGAAAATAGTCAAATTCTAAAAATAAAGTCTAATTTATTTATATTATTTTTCTATTGTTCAGTAATTGGATTTAAATAAATTTTTTTTAAAAATAATAGCTTATGATATGGATATTAAAATAAATATTTTTTTATTAAATTTAATTTTATATTAATGAAGCTAAATTATTTTAAATAAAAAAAGTCATAGAAAATTTTAAATAATATTTTCATTATCTTTAAAAATAATCATTCATATACAATATTAAATTAATTAAATCTTAAAAACTTTAATATTTTATATTTTACAAAATTTAAAATCACTTGATTTATCAAATATATTTATTAAATTTTAAGATTTTTTATAATAATAAAAAAAATAACAGTTTATATTGATCTAATTATAAATTCTATAATGTTAATATTGGATTTTTTTTTTTTTTTTAATGATAAATTAGTTTATATATTTTTTGAGATTTTTTTTTTTCTAAAAATTAAAATAGAAAAAAATAATTATCAGTTTATATAACTTGAATTTTATAAAAAATAGATATAATTAAAATAATATCAAAAAATCATATTCATAAATTTAAATGAATTAAATTTATTTTAATAAATTTATACACATTTAATTTTCTATTAATTATATTTATAAATAATTTGATACATAGTAGTTATTATTATGTAATTGATATATAAAGTTGTTCAGGTGGAATTTTTTTTATTATATTTTAAAAGGTTTAATAGTATAAGTAATAATTTAATTTTATTAATTGAGTTGATACTTTCAAATAAAATAAAAAATTTTTAAATAGTAATAATAAAATTGGTTTATTAAAAAGCATTTTCATACCTGCGATTTGTTCTAGAATGTTCTGAAGTATGTGATGGTTTAATTGGCGTAAAGCAAAAACTTATGTACGCACATACATAATTATGGAAGTTAAACCCGCCAAAAGAGTAAATGAACCAAAACACCATAGGAGAAAAGTTGTTTTCGTTGATCCTGACGATCCCGAAGCACCTCACTGGTGGCCGGCTTTGGTAAATCGAACGTTGGTTCAGCAGAACGTTATGAATTTGAAAGCTAACGGTTCATTTTGATCATAACTCGCTCTTGCGATAAAAGGTTGTCCCACTGAAGGAAATCGAAATCTTTAAGCAAAAAATGGATAATGATGTTCAGTATCCTGGAGAAGGCGAAAACTTGGTTTGTTACTTTGAAGATGGTTCCTTCTCGATCGTTTCAGAAAAAGACCTATTGCCGTTCGATCCAAATAGTGAACCATATACCACTTACATGGAGGGACCTAACTTTTCGAAATTTCAAAAAGACGAGGCTGTCACTCTGGCGACATTATACTTTGAAAAGGGGGCAGTGCCGCCTTCGTTTAAATGGCTTCGGAATGAAGATTCCGGGAATGCCTCAGATAACAATGGAAATAACCATTCGGGCATCAATGGATGTAATAATGCAGATTCTGTGGGATCAGATACTTATAATACTGGCGATGAAGATGGAACCAGCGCAGTGTCAGGAAGGAATACTGCCACCAACACAAAACGGCATTCGAGAAATGAAAGCTCTAATAATGGTGAAGATCATTTGGTTTTGCACAGACGAACAGGTTGACGAATAATTGATCCAAATGTTGTATTATAGTTTCAGAACAAACGAATTCCAATAAGAGGGAAGGAATATCCAAGAGGGATAATGGCGCTGGCCAAAGGAAGGATAGTATCTCGGGTCAAGGCAAAAAAGTAAATAGATCAAAGTGTCTTGGGAGTTTAATTGTTTATTTATCGTGTTGGGCTACTTATTTAACAATATTTGATGTAGAATTTGATACCGACAACGCCGACATCAAATTCACGTACCACCAAAGTCACTAAGCCTCGAAGTTCGTCAAATGCCAACAAATATGTTGCTAATGGTTCCGCCAACAATAATTCAACATTATCGAAACCTACATCCAATAACAATTCCAATCCTTCGCAGCAGACGAACAATAAGTCTTCCGTCAACAATTTCGCGAGTACCACCTGTCACAATAATGCGAACACCAATACATCTAATCAACAGTCGCACCAACTATCTGCGGCAGAACGGGTGATATCATCTAGAACAAAACAGTGCTCCCATTGTGGAGAGAAAACAACCACTCGCGCCAACACCAACGGTGATAATAAAGAGCCGTGTAGTAAATTATTGTGTGGTGAATGCGGAGAATTATTGAATTCATTCTTCAATTCATCTACATGCGATCCATCAAGCAGTAATAACGTGTGTGGTGATGGTAGCAATCATCAGATTAACGGTGGCCGAATGATTATGGCGATATTTGAGAATAGGTATTATTGGGATCATTACATAGAGAAGAAGAGAAAATCGCCAAGTAGATTATGGGGGAATGGACAAGGTTATGATGGTGATGGTGGCGGTCAAATTGAGATAAAAATATTGAACGATGTATTACCGGTTAATAAACGTTCTAGATGGATCGGTCGGTCCGATGGTAAACGATTTTTCATCATCTGTTGTCGATTATTTTGATTCATGTCATTCTGACATCTGCTCTTTTCCGTCAGACATACTAGCGAACTCTAATTAATTGCGCGAGGATGGATCTTCATACTTGCTTTCGTTCTTTGATATATATATGTATATATATATATCTTTGACGTCGATCAATCCATGTAGCCTTGGAGTAATTCGTGAGCGAATGGATTGAATAGTCACCGTTTCAAACGAGGGTCGTTCTCAACTTCATAAACAAAAGTATTCTGACGCTTATTTATAATCCTACTTTTAATTCTCCTTACTTTAACGCCACTGTTTATTTATCCCGTTTGTGTAATATAATATCTTTATTTACTACTTAGAGTTTACATGCATGTGCTGTATATATAAAACCTTGCCTCGTAACCCTTTGACTTTTGTAAAGGTGAATTTTTCGAGACCCACCATAATTTAATATACCAAGATCTTGTTTTGATTTTCGAATTGTTTAGCTCTCTGCAAATTTGGGTGAATACAATAGCAATTCGAAACTCTATGAATGTGTTTGAAGTGGTTTAAAAGGAAAAATGATTTCTTGAACAATACAAATTTCCAACAAAGATATTTTTAGCAACAAAAATTTAATTAAACTTTGTATTATCCAAATACTATTACATTATTATATAATATACTAAAATTAGGTTTGATCTACGTGACCTAAATCAAGAAACTCGCCTAAACCGGTTCTGGGAGAGGTTACACTGCCACTTATTATTTAGTTGTAATGTGTTTCGTCGTATCGATTCGGACCTGTTGCATGATAATTTACGCAAATTATAAGATACTAGCTCCGAACTAATGTTCTCCAAAGATGGACATGTTGAACAAAGTACAAACCCTTAAATGTCCAAGGAACTAACGAATTTGGTCAGACGTTAACAACCTTTTGTATTGTAAACCCTCTTTTCCTTGTTTTATTTTTAAAGCAGTCTGTCACATTCCTTCCGGTAAAAGAATTTCTTTAAATCAAATTGTAAATCATTTTTCAGATCTTTACCATTTGTCCAGTAGAAACGAAACCTAACATAAAAATTTCATTCTTTCTTTATTGACCTTTATTTTTTGTACCTAACAGCGCAAGGGTTTTATAATAGATATCGAAGGTGAGTGAGCTTTTATTCCGTTATTGCACATTACCCCCGGAAACCTTTTTTCCCTGGCAAAACTTTTACCACTAATCTCCGGAAAAAAATTATGGAGACGAATAACTTTCTTATTTAGCAGCTCTGACCTTTATGCAACGATTTCAATACATTTTGTAGACAACAAACTATTTTTTCGCACATACACATAAATATCACCTTTCCTTTCGCAACACCATTTCCCTTTGTACGTAAATCCATAAAACTATCAAAATGCACAGACAAAAACAACAATCAGTGTCAGAGATTAAGCTCCGTCGATTAGTGGAGCTCAATCAAAGGCTTCGTGAGGATTTAGATCGTCCTCGAGTGAGAGTCAGCGAAGCTAGTAATAGGTAAAGGATTTCAAGCGAACTAGACTTGGATATATTGAATTTTACAGGCTTCGTCTAAAGGGATGTCTCATTTCCACTCGCACAGTTTAATCACATACTGCAAGAACACTCGAGATTTCCTGGTACCGTCTGTCTGGGGACCAGTTGACAAGCGTGAGGATCCCTACGTAATGTCCGGTGGTAGCTGTCATTGTATTATTATGTAAAAAAAAAAGAAAGAAAAAGATTTTACATTTAATATTTTACCAGGATAAAATGGTTATTCCCATTCGACACGTCATTTTAACTTTCACCTCGTTAAGCATAATTATTGCAAATGAATTTTTATTTAGGGGGATGCCTTCCTTTCCAAAGAACGTATTCCTTTTCTTTTTTCATTCTTTTATTTTATTTTTTTTTTCTTTAAATTTTGGGGATGATTTGGGATGTGTTCCTTCCGGAAAGGCGTTTCACCTCCCTATAAACATATAATTTTGTAAATTTAAAAGGAAAAAAAAAACCAAAAAAAAATCTCGCATCAAGTCACGTTGGTGATGGAAATTACTTTGTATATTAATCAACGTATTTTCGTTATGAATTCGTCCAATTTAATAATAGAAATCACGTCTTTTTTAGAGGTGTCCTTTTGTGACGTGTTGGGAATAATATATATATAGCCTTTTCTTATTTGTACTTTAAATTATCTACCATCATGTTCCTCTATCATCTTTTTTTTTTTTTATGTTTGGGTTTACAGGTCTCGTCTCTACGCTTTCTCTTTTGTTACTGGTTTATTATTTATGGTAAGATCATTCATTCATTGACCATCACATCCTTTAGAATCAATTCTACTATATCATCTTTTTTTTTCGGGCGAAAAGCTCATTTGGTTGGTGCATCAAGTTTCAATCAGTCTAGGATGTGATGCTCGGGTGGACAAACAATCTTTTCGCATTCATGTTCCTTTCATTATGATTATATTTTCATACCTCTTATACCTATTGTTATTCTTCCAGGTTTTTTTTTTTTTTTTTAAGTAGATTTACATCATGTACTGTTTACCTCTATTCTCCTGATTAATGGTTATGGTGTTATTTAATCACAGTCAAAAGGAAAAAAAAAAAAAAAGTTAATTCCAGGGGATGTCCAATTTATCAAAAGAACAATCTTATTCCTTTGAGCATTTGAAAATCGTTGGATAATCATTTGTTTTCACGATTGGTGTAATGTCATCTTTTAATATTTTCGGCAATACAAAATTAATATTATTCGTAAATAATTGAAATCACCTTTTCGGCATAACCAATTGTTCGTTGGATACTGCGTGCGTGCGTTTGGAGTCAATGAAAATCTTTTTTTTTTTTTTTTGCGAAGAAATTAACGGCGATTGAATAAAAACCCATGACCATTAAAGAACCATATGTGAGGGAGTCGAGTAACACTTTTTAGTAGATTTATTGTGATTTATTGTTCGTCACTTTAAAATTCTACCGATTCTTTTTCTTTTATTTCAGTTCTTCGTTAGTTGCGCATCTGATCACGTCATGAGGGATCATTTACATTACATGCGTTACAAATGTGTTAGGAGGAACAAAAGGTCGATACCTGTCCGTTCGTGTGGCTTAAGCGAGGAATCACCTCAATATTTCATCATCTTTATTACTTGAAAGCCATCGGCATCCTCTTTCTTTTCTTTTTCACATTCTCTCATTCCCGCTTGCCTCCATTTTTTACTTGATTCGGGTCATCACATAATTTCTTGTTTACCTCTTTATACTATTATCGTATCCATGTGTGTGCTTGCATTCCGCTCGTTTATGCGCCGGATAACTTAGAACCTGTATATCACGATCGCACAATTCCGCGTACAATGACTCGAATGCTTGGATTGAGACGTGATCTATTGCATCGTTTTGAATCCAGCAACACATGCACGGTTGATTTTCTGGGGAGAAATTTCTATCACCGATCGAACAATCAAACCAGAACCTTCCTGAATCTCTTTGTATTTTTAGGGAATAGTTGGGAATGGGTAACGAATGTAATCGACAGAATTCGAACAAAAGTACACAAGGCCGACGTTCCCAGAATGACGAACTCTTTTTCTGATGATAGATCCATTGACGCTGTTGTTGGCTTACCGTGTCATTAATGCCAGATGTTGGACAACCTCCATTATCAATGACAGCATCATGCTTACATTGTGCTCTTCTGTCCGCCGGATACCCTATATCCCTTCCGGAGATCTCACTGACTTCTATATACAAGATTTCGAAAGCTTGAATTGACACGTAGTCTATTGCATCATTTTCTACCCAACAACTGAAGCATGATTGTAGTGGATTGAAATGTCGAGGGCCAATAAAACAATCGAACCAGTAGGAATTATTGTTTTCAATTCTCAGGGAATAAACTGGATCATGAAGTTTATGGACGCGCGAAAAATCTCTCAAGAGTACACAAGGGCGTTTTAACCAGAATGGTGCCCATTGTTCTTGAAATGAATTCCATATTATACGCGTGTCCTGCATGACATCAATAGATTGCATCGCGGTGCTGATGGAATAGTATGTTGTGCCCTTAAACAGTTTGTCCAGGTCTTCGTTTCCACCTTTGGGTGAACTGGTGGATGACTGAACGACTGAAGTTTTTTGTTTGCCTAATTCATCCGGAGTCGTCGTTTCTTTGAGTGGTGGTCTATTGCGTATAGCAAGGGGAATAAAGTTACTGTTAGGGAAAGATCGAACTCGCGATTTTTTTTTCGACGACCTTTTACTCTGTGTCTTGTGTTTTCCGCCCTTGGGCATCTCGGAAGCATTCGATCTCGGTTTCCTGAAAATCTTTTTTCGATGTAATGCGACTGAGGTTTTTTTTTCATTAATAACCTTTTCTGGCGGTGTTGATCCAGAAGTAGATCTCGCGTCGGGAGTTTCGGTCATTAATGTTTTGTTTGGCTCACTACCCTGAAGCATCACAATTTCAGGGATCCTCGGGGTTATATCTGCATTCGGCAATGAGCAAATTGGACGAGAACCTTTTTTGTCGTTCCTAATTCTCCCGTTCGACACGCCTCTGTCAACGCGTGTGCCGTTTGTTGGAGTTGAACTTGGTGGGTTCACAATTTTTTCAATTTTTGGTTTTACAGGTGGCCCTCCACCCGGCCGGGTTCTTAATGTCAAATTCCTTGTAGATTGTTGACTCTGTAGTTTTTCTGTACTCGTCATATGAGTTTTGATTATGTCTATTTTACTTGGAGGTTCAAGTTCTTGAATGACTTGCGAGGGCGCCGACTCCACTTTCGTTAAGACTACCCCTTTTTCGTATGCCACGTGAGGTGGCGCATAGTTTAGCGGTGTGAGATCTTTGGTGAGTATCGTTTCTACTTTTATTGGCATGACTCCTTTTTGCATTTTCTCGTGTGTCACGCGAGGCAAAGCATAGTTTGGTGAAGGGTCTTTGATGGATGCTGGTTCCACTTTTATTTTCACTGTCCCCTTTTGCATTCTTTCGTATGTCGCACAAGGCAATGTGTAGTTCGAAGGTGTTAGGTCCTTGATTGAAGGTTGACGTAGGATCGGAGGCATATGGGTCGCTGCTATATAAAGAGAAAAAAAAAAAAAAAAAGAAACTTTATTACCTCGTTTCGTAGCCTAATAAGTGAAAGCAGCGCAATCTGATTGATGGGACAGCGATTTTATAGGTTTTTTTTTTTTTTTTTTTTTTTCCGATTTGATCCGATAACAGCGTCAGCCAATCGATTATTTCCATTATCACTGAATTAACGCTACGCGTTCAAACAAACTATACATTTCATAAGGCATCATTTTATTTATTTGTTGATCACGATTATAATTAGAGTTTACTATTATTATTATTATCGCTAACAAACGCTAGTTACAAAACCATGACAACAAGAGTATGTATATCGTTCATTTTATTGAACTTGCAGTTTCTATATGAATTGCTAGAGTTTGATAATATGCAGTAAAGAAAAAAAAAAAATGTTCCATTTCGCCCCTCTGAATTATATATTTCCTCATTGTATAAAAGTGAAATAATGCTACCCGCCGTTTAACCACCAAAACCATAAAGGGTACGTCCTTGCCTTTTGAGGGCATATACTGTGGCGAAAATGAAAAAAGAATGCATTTAGTCGAAAAAAAGGAAAAAATTTATCTGATAGAAACAAACGAAAGGGCCCAGGTTGATACCCACCAACATCGAGGGAGGTTACCGTCTTGCGTTTAGCATGTTCTGTGTAGGTCACGGCATCTCGGATTACATTTTCAAGGAAAACTTTGAGCACTCCTCGAGTTTCTTCGTAGATGAGCCCTGAGATACGCTTTACACCACCACGACGTGCGAGACGACGGATAGCTGGTTTCGTAATACCCTATGATTTGATATAAGAAACGAGAGGTCAGAAAACTCTTTGAGAAATAAAGTGGGCGAATAAAAAATAAACAAACGATTTATTACTTGGATGTTGTCTCGAAGAATTTTACGATGACGCTTGGCACCACCTTTTCCAAGACCTTTGCCTCCTTTACCACGGCCAGACATGATTATATATTATAATTTGGTAAGGTTGATGATTATTTGAAGAGGGGAATAAAATTGATATACAAGTGCGCGGACGAGACTTTTTTAAAAATGGCAGAGAGGGCAAAGGCCACCCTTTTTATAAGATTTGTGGTTATTGTGATTATTTTGGTAACGCGTCAATCCATTGTTGATTTCACTGATCTAAAACTCGCGTCAGCGTTTTCTCAAAATGGGCATCAGGTGACGCGACTTGGATTAAAAAATAAAGGCTACGCGTAAACATTTAGCGGCGACGATCCGTGTAACGTCGCATGACGGGAGATCATTACGTCGTGTTGTGCGTGTCGTAACTTTTCGCGATAACTGGCAAAAAAAATAAATTTATTTTTGATTTTATATTATTTTTATAAAAAAAAATTTATTTTTTTTTGACAAATTTTATTTACAGTTTGGTGCAAAAGTCTTTGGACTGATATTTTTTATTATAATTTAATAAATAATTATTGAATTTAAATAAAACTTTAAATTATAAAATATTAATTTGAAGTAAAAAAAAAAATAGGCATCATTTTATTGATGAATTTTATATATAAAATTTACAT